GCGGCCCCGCCCCTAGCGCCTCTCCGCCCCCGCCCGCCTCGGGCCACGCCCCTAAGCCCGCCCAAGGCCCGGGCCCTGTCTGGAGTGGCTGGGAGGCGCTTCAGCCGTCAGCTGGGCGACTGGACTCCACTTCCGGGGCGTGGCCCCAGTCGGATCGCTCTGCGCTCTGAGGGACGTTGGGAGGAGAGGTGATTTCTCTGGAAAAGGGAATGAAACAGTGAGCGAGGCAGATCTTAACCGGTCGGAGTAGAACTTAAGTCGGAACTTGCGGTCTCGTCGCCTGCTAGGGAAGAAAAGCAGTTTTCAAGAGTACTTGGGCGCCGCCGCCAGCTGTGGGCTGGGACTACAAGTCCCGGTCTGCGGGAATCCAGGAGCGGGTGCGGGAGAGGGCAGTAGTGGGAAGAGAGGCATGCTGGGAGCTGTAGTAGTGTCACTACGAATTCACAGCTGGTCGATGCTCGTTTTACTATTGGTATGGTGAGAGGACAGAAACTGGGCTTTGGGACTTTGGAGACCGGCTACGGCTGAGAGACGCGAGACGTCTCTTGGGTGAAAGGAGAAAGGACTTTTGTTCTTCTGAAATCCCTTTAAGCCCTGACGAGTGAGTTGCTAAGGTTCGGAGTACCTCCTTTGCATACGACGCATTCAGTGTTTCCTGGATTGAAGGGAATTTTTCTCCTTGCCTTTAGATTCGCTGCGCTTCAGAACTGAATGAGAGATTTTCCTGCATAGAATGGGCTTTGTAAATCTTTATTCATCTTTGTCTTCTAGTTATCAGAGTATATTCTGGTCTAACTCATCACTTTACAAATAAAGTGATTTGCCCAGCCCCCCCCCCTTCTTAGCAGAGCCAAAACATGAACTCATTAATTTTGCTCACTCAACATCACCATATAGCCCCTGCTAAGGAACGTAGCTTTGTGATAACATGAAAGAAGCAAAGGGTTTGATAAATGGACATGACTTTGGTCACTTACACCCACAAACAACATTTTGTACAGAGCAGATTGGTCAGGAAATTTGGTCATAGTAGGAAATATCAGTGGTAGGACACTTTCCCAGTTGGGTGTTCAGGAGCACCATGGAATTTAATGAAAAACTCCCTGAAGAAACTAAGTATGAATGGCAAGAAAAAGTTTATTTATTTTTTTTAGAAAGGAAAATATTTCTCTTTAAAGCAACTAGTATATGCCAAATCTCTCCCCTCCGAAACATGCACTTTCACATGTGCCCTTCTAAATCTTTTCCCATGAATTTATATATGTGTGTAAAGAGATACAGTTTTGCTCTGTGTTTTAAAAATTCACTGAGAAAACAGTTTGAGGTTTGTTTGTTTGTTCGTTTGTTTTGCAGTTTTTGGCCGGGGCGGGTTTGAACCCGCCCCCTCAGGCACATGGGGCCGGTGCCCTACTCCTTTGAGCCACAGACACCACCCCGGAATGGTTTGATTTTTAAGGTAAATTTTATTTGAAGTAAGAGCCTGCAGTATTTTACTTCAACCAAATACCAAATACTACTATTTAGTTTCACTGGATGTGACAAAAGGTCAGAATCTGGGCTTGATCATACTGTAGATTCCACTTTCTCTCAGAACTGGGAAAGAAATCAGACTAGGTAAAGAAGTGGGTAGCTGATCACGGGCATCTCCACTTTTGATACGTCAAAACACACAAATCAGATGGTAATTGGTTAAAAACTGTATGTTGGCTGAGTTGTGCAATGGTCTAATGATAGTCTGGTATAGTGTGTCAGAGATGTTAATTGTTTGAGGTATTGAGACCTATATTGGCTGATGTTATTTAGTCTTTCTTTTTTTTAGCTTTTTCTTTTATTGGCAGCGTCTCTCTTATGACACATGAGGATTTCTTGAGGTTTCAGCAGCAACCTTTGGCATCTGCTATAGGTTAGGGAAAATTAATGTAAAGTAGTACCTCCAAGGATTTCAACTCTTTGGAAATGCTCAACAGTGTTTTTCTTAGTAACTAACTGTTTTTTTTTTCTTCTTTTCAATATACAGTATAGCCTCCATAGTTGACCACCTCCTCACATTGACTATCTCCCTAAATTGACCTAATTTTCATAGACTGGACTCACAGCACATGTACTCAATGGAAGTTCCTTACGTTGACCACCTCTGTATGGTTCACTAGTTTATTATAGTCCCTTGGGTGGTTAGCTTACGGAGGTTCTACTGTATGTGTTTAGGTCTTGTTTCAAGATGTTTTTTGAGCTTGAAGGGTTATGCTGTATCTGTGAGATACAAAAATGTTTTCAGGATGACTCCTCCTAAGGAACATATATATTAGTAAAAGAGAAAGAAAAAACAATGAACTCTTAGTTTAGGTTAATAAATGCAAAATTAGTGACACAGATTAATAATAAGTTTAACATTACTGAGGAAAAAAATTGTGAATGATGCAGTCAGAGTAGGAGGTAGTCACAGAGGCAGAACTTGAAGGATAAGTGAAATTTGATTTGAATAGGAAATTGAACACGCAGACAAAAGAAGTAATGAAACAAAAAGCATGAAGACAACAAAGTAGAATTTTGAATATTGTATAGGTGAGAAGGCTCCAAAGTAGCCTGGACACAGGGTTGAATGTCTTACTTGATATTTTAGGCATTGGAAACTTTCTTCATTTCTTACTCAGGGCAAGTTAAACTCTAAGCATCAGTTTTGGTTTTTTGTAGGAAAGCCACCTGCTGCTTCCTAATGAGATAGGTTTCAGCATTTGTGTCTTGCGCTTTACACTTGCTCATAGAAAACACAAAATAAGAACTGGTTAAACAGTGAATGATTTCTGTGCCTTTTATAATGCCTTTTTACCCACCGCCTCAAATCTTCGTAGGCTCTTTTCCTGCTCACTAGTCATGTTCACTCAGGGTAAATACATGAGGATTGACAAGAAAGGTTAATATTGTTTGTTTGTTTCTTTCTTTGTTGTTGAGACAGTCAGTCTCACTTTGTCACCCTTGGTAGGGTGCCCTGGCGTCATAGTTCACAACAACCTCAAACTCTTGGGCTTAAGCAGTGCTCTTTCCTCGGCCTCCCCAGGAGCTGGGGCTACAGCTGCCCGCAGCAATGCCTGGCTATTTTTTAAAGATGGAGTCTCATTCTTGCTCAAGCTGGTATCTTACTCCTGAGCTAAGGCAATCCACAGGCTTCAGCCTCCCAGAGAACAAGGATTATATAGGCATGAGCCACCACACCCAGCCTATAAATATCTCTCTTCTTAGTACTTTTGTAAAGGTTTAAATGGATTATATTTAAACCCAATATTATCCAAAAGAGGTTTCAGGATTATCACAGTACCCCTTTCTCCCTTAACTCGAGTAAAAGTAATGCTTTCTATGTAGAAATTTTAACTTTTGAAGTATTTTTACATCTATTCTCACATAAAAGCTACCTTTGTTATGGCTTTCATAGTATTTTATGGCTCCTTATGAGCTTTTCTTTTTTTAACGACTCTAGGTAGTAATTTGATATCATTGTCCTCATTAATAGATGAAAAACTAAATAAAACACAGGAAGTAGATATGATTAGCTCACTTGTAGGAAAAAAAGAAAAGGTCAGCTGCATGGCCAGAACCTATAGGTCCTGAGTTTCTGGCTTGTTGCATAAACCACTGAGTCACAGTACATTTATATCTGGTATAATTTAAGTGAAACTATGGGTGAAGTCTGAAACTATTCCTGAGACTCTCCCACAATAGCACTTCTGATATTAACCTGCCATTTTCTTCTATATTCTTCCATCCTTGCTATACTTTTTTTTTTCTTCTTCTTTTTTTCCAGCCACGGTCTTGCTCTGTCACCCAGCTAGCATGCAGTGGCATCATCATAGCTCACAGCAACTTCAAATTCCTGGGCTCAAGCAATCCTCCTGCCTCAGCCAAGTAACTGGGCCTATAGGTGTGTACTACCCCACCTTATTAATTTTTCTTTTTCTCTTTTTTCTTCTTTTTGTTTTTGTAGAGACAGGGTCTCTGTCTTGCTCAAGCTGGTCTTGAACTCCTGGCCTCAAGCAATCTTTCCACCTTGGCCTTCTAAAGTGTTAGGATTATAGGTGTGACCCCCGTACCCTTTAACTGTATCTAAAATGGACTCCTAGAGAGGAAGTTATGGGGAGGTGAATAAGAAGGGAGGGAAATTCCTCTTTAGTTTATTCCTGGCCTCTTTTACTCCCTCATTCCTAGCCTAGTCACAGCACAGAAGTTGTTGAACATTTTTTAATCTAGGAATTTTTTGCTGAAATACATAATCTAATAAATAGGGAATTAGTGATAAGGAAACATAATTTTTAGTTTCTTAAGGTAGTTTAAGATTTTCAGAAGAAAGGCACATAAAAATGGAGAGAAGTTTAAAGAGAATGAAATTTCCTCAATATTTAACATATATTTGTAAGCTAAATATTTCAGAATTTTTCCACATATTATCCTCATAACTTTCCTCATAACTCTACTCTTAAGTAGGTAGGTCAGGTATTATTGTCTACATCTGTGTATGTGCATTAGAATTCTAGTAGGGATAGTAATGCCTAAGCTTTGAGAAATTACGTGATTTGCCCAAGGACACAGATGGCAGAACTAGA